TGTTCGCTAAACCCTCTGCGTGAGACGCCGGGCGCCGGCTCGGCTCGGCAGCGGTGGTGTCCGGGTGGCAACGCGCGTCCGCGCACCTCATTCGAATTGGAAATGGCGCGGCGGAGGCGCCTGTGACGACACACGGAGGGGGCGGGGGGGGGCGTATCCGGACCGTCGGTCCGGCTGAGTTATGCGCACAGACAGCTGCTTCTGCGGTGACTATGACGGCGAGATCTAGAGTTCCAGCCCCGACAGTGGCAGAGTTCTGGCACTAGCTATATATCTGGTTTGAATTCTTTCCAGCGGCTGTCTGCTCTGATCGGTAGTCTTCCGTGGCTTCTCCGATCAACACCAGGTGAATACCGAAGCAGTACCCTAACAAACGGTCCACTTACAGCGCGCGATCTTTCCTTCCTCTTCCTATTTCGTTTCCTCTCCTATTATTGCCGGGAGACAAGTCTGGAGCGTAGAGCTTGTCCCGGCTGGGCGGTGCCCCGCTGGTTGGAGGAACTTGCACAGGTAAACCTCTGCTAGTCGGCGTGTAGGTCGGCGCCGGATCTCACCGCCAAGCGGGGGAAGAACCAACCCAGTCACTTCCCGTGATAAAACACGCGCCACACTTACGGAACTAATGACTACGTGAGTTGGCGCGCCCGGAAACACGATATAACGAGCCAAAGAATGAAGGGTGTTGGGGGCAGGCGGGTCGTAATGAGGAAGCGGCCCGCGCCAACGGGCGGGGTGGAGTGGGGGGCGCCGGCGCGGCTCCGGGCCCCGCACGCGCCCTCCAGCCTGGCGCCACATAACTCTCCCCTCCCGCGCCGCTCCGTGTTCTCAATGGACGATGCGCCGGCCCCACCACCGCTCGTTAAGTGCTTGGCGCCACGCGAGCGCTCGGGCTCAACTTCCAGCATGCACAGGGAAGGCATGCACTTGCTCTAACAATGCATGCAGTTTAGCATTTTAGCGTGGAATTCGCCTGGCGTTGAATGGAGAAACCACTCTCCTCCAGGCAGCAGCTTACCCGGTCCAACGATTCGGATGGTGCCGAAAATCCGCCACGGCCGGGTGTCGAACTCTGCGATCTCCTGGTTAGCGACGCTGCAGAGAGAATGGCAATACCCTAACCGAGCCTTTGCATCCTGCCATTAGCGTTTTATAAAGAGGGGTTCTAAATAAGAAATATGCATTATGCAATTGGCATTAGGGTCGTATTAATCCGACTTTTTCTAGCTAGCGGTATTCCCAGGTTTGGGGCCTATTTTAAATTATTTTTAAAAGTTAAGGGGGATATGTGGTGAACCCTCCACCATATCTAGCTTGGCCAGCTTGAGTTTTTCTTTTGTCGCACAACTATGGAAACGGAGGCGATTGTAATGGAAAGCTACAGCTGTTTTTGTCCCAATCTAGAATCCAACCCAGGATCGCAGCTCGGAATAGCAAGATGTCATTGAGCCACCCGAAGGACTCCAGGCACTTCTCTCGCAAAAAGGGACGGGTTAATATCTTTTTGTAACACTGTTTCGTTATGTCGATATAACGCAACCAGACAGCAAGGAAAAGCCACTCTCAGCGGCAGCTATGCGTTTAGAATTTTATAGTGATCCGTTTGTTCTGAACACTAAAAATAAGTAATTGTAATAAAGATAGTGAATGTATTCTCGTACTCTAAGAGAATGTAATTATTATGAATATTTTCGCATAAGAATGTGGAATTTTGGAAAGAACAGAACGACGCACGGTTAGGTCAGATATAGTGAATTTGATTATTTGCTCTACTAATATGTCGGCCCAATGACGTTGATAACTATTTCGTAATACTGTACGTCAAACGGCCGTAAAACAACCAATTACAGGGATGAAAAGTTAATTTTACCGGCTGGCGTTCATTATTGTCGTAGGTAGGCCGATATTGAAGAAATAACGGACGCGTTTTTTGTGAACCGAGAGACAACCGAGATTTATAACGAATCCAATGCGTTATTTTCGTAGATTTCGGATGTATATCGTTCAATCATATCACTAATACCACATTGTGAAAAGACATAAGAAAAACAAAAAACAGCGTTTCTTGGAATAAGTGCTTTCAAACGCCATTTATAGTTACAACTGTAAACTGGTAAAATCCTGGAGGTACAGCGGCCGTTTAAATGTACTTTTCCGGAAGTAAATTTCCGAATTTCGCTCGAACGAATTTGTAGCAGAAGTGAACGTTCGATCATGTGCACGAGACATTTCAACGACAATTTGTCACGAAACAATGCGTTTTAACGAAATGTCAAGTCAGAAGCGCGTTCAAAAACCTTTAGTTTGATATTTCATTCATTATTGTACCTTTTGTAGGTGCCCAGAAAAGTGGTAGTTGGCATAAAAAATAATAATAAATGTCGATATGCGAACACGTTTAGTGAATGACGTTTGAAAGTCAAAGATGTCTCTGCTAGAGTGCATGTGTACGGCCTCATCATCGTCCGCAATTTGGGTTCCCAACAAAGCCATGGTCTTAAGGTTACACAGTGATACGCGATTTGATCTAACTGGAAAATAGCCTTCATTTACGGAGACCAACTTTTAGCAGGACTTTGACTCCCTGTTATCCAATTTCTTTCCTCAAAGAAAGGATTAAAACCTTAAACACTATTTATTATAACCTCTAACTGAATAGAAAAAAAAGTGTTCTGTTCTTTTACTATCATTGGAATGTTTCAAAAGACAAGCAATAACGAACATTTTGTAGTAAAAGATTTACAGCAATACTCGGAGATTAAGTTATTGATAATATTGTGTAATAGAAGCAAAGCATTAATAAAGTACATAAGGATATGTAGATATTATCAGATTAACTTAACATTCTTATTTTGCCTGCATACGTAATCTTTTGTCACGACCCTGCTTACCATCTGTTCGACGTGAAAGCATTTGTACGCGGAGCGTTTCCGGTACGATCCCTGCCAAGGGGTCACCTGTTCTTTGGCTGTTCAGTTGCCACGGAATTAGATTCCGTTTCTACTTCCTCTCCTCGGCTGCTTGTATTGGGAGGAAAATTTAAGTAGTTGATTTTTAAATAGTTTGTACTACTGCGGTAGAGAATTCAGTGGCTTCGGCGGTGTAACGGTTAACATATCAGACTGTTATATCCAAGTTCGTGGGTTCAAACTCCATCAAGGCCAATAATTTTCAAGGGCGCAAAAATTCTGTGCACGCTTCCTTCGAAGGGGAAGTCAAGCCGGCTGTTCCATGTTATAGGTTTACTGCATGTACAAGATCCTCAAGGATAAAAGAAGTGTCTGAGCTAAATTTTAATCGCCAGTTTCATCGCCCGAGTAATAAATTCTTTTTCCGCTAGATGGCAAAAGAAGCGTGGTCAGGCGGAAGAGCAGGCATGATGGCGTAAGCCTCGCTACGTAAAATAAGGCAGCATTGATGGATTGGCTGATGTGTGGAATGCGCGTATTAAGTTTAGTAGAAATACTGAAGTACTAATTACGTTAGCGAAGTGAGTGAAGATAACCTACGTCTGTATTCTGTTATGGTAGGAAATTTTGCGTTTGGTCTTAAGAGCTGTATTGGCTCTCACTTTGAGAAACATTTCCAAACGTGGATACAAGAGCAACAATAATGTTCACCAAAATAGTAGCCAGCACATGAACAGAGAGAGAGAGAGGTTACTTAGATGGTGGGTAGGCCTAAAATGAGGATCTATGGAAAATTTGTAGGTCTCGATAATTGGTTGAAAAGAAAAGTGATGAGAAAAGGAGAAATAGAGATGGAAGGAGAAAAAGAAGAAAGAAAGAAAAAAACGGGAGAAAAAAAAGGATAAGACTAAAGAGAAAAACGTCTCGAGGTACCTATAAAATAATTATTTTAAGAAAAACGTAGCGGTGTCTTCAATTTGCATCGTCTTCAATAATGCATCGTCTTCTTTAACGAGCTGAACTCTACCTCTTGTAGTGGAGAGAGAGAGAGAGAGAGGGAGAGAGAGAGGGAGAGAGAAGAAAGAGAGAGAGAAAGAGAGAGAGAGAGAGAGAGAGAGAGAGAGAGGGGAGATGGAGGGGGGGGGCAGAAAAGCCGCTGGCGGCGGCCCATCCATCTCAATGAACCCCCTTCCTTCCCCTCACCAGCGCAGTCTGTCGGTGGCGTCCGCTTCCGCCCCCCGTCCTCGCTCGGCAGCCGCCGCGCTCCACGCTAGTGACCAACAACACACACACGCACGCGCATACGAAGGGACGGGCAGGCGGGCGGTGATTACAGAAAGGGGGATCCATACGGGCACATGCCGGCGCTTTTAGAACTCTCTGCTGACACCATTCGCGCGTTGGAGGCGGCACACGCGATGAGTTACGTATACAGTACTACGTAAAGATACCATTTGCCCTCCACTGTCTTTTAATCTTTGAGCATCACACTAACGTATTTTCATTAAAAACATTGCAGGTCGCGGCGGGAATTCGCGACATTTCGAGCCCAAACGGTCAGGACTGTGGACGGATATTCTAGGCTAGGCGCGCTGTCATTTGCCAAGTATCTATTATTATTTTCTGAGTGATAATAGCCCTTTTACAACCTTCCATGACCCCCACCATTCACGTGGCTGTGCTCCGAAGATTTTTTATGATTTCAAGCAGGCAAAGTTTCTTGCTTGCAACTCTTCAAGAAAGTGAACTGTGGTAGACAGAGTTCTGTGGTGCCAGTTAGCAATGTGAGAGCCGAAACGTTGTCCTCTTGGACTAAGCCTCTACACTAAGAAATAACTATTATCAATTTATTATTATGTAATTACAAGTTTATATGTTTTATCTTTATGGTTGAGTGTAATTTCCTATTCAACAGTCACAACTTCGTGGAGATTTCTGTCAACTCTATTTTAGATCATAAGAAAGTGTCATATTTCTTTAGCGTATTACCAGAAGTGACAATGGAGTAATAGTGTCGTAAAATACTTTATCAAAAGTTTAGTTACATCATAGCGTCTTCACGCAAGTGAACGTAACAAGTTTGCAATGTAGCAAGGGGCACTGCTTCGCTGCGGTGACCCTGCTCTAATCCTTAAGTATTACTGTTTTTTTGACTGAATAAATCTAAATTTAAATCTAAATCTAAATCCCCGCGGTTAGCGTAGAGTGAGAGGGTAAAAAAAGTACGTAGAATAATGCAGCGCTGGAGGATACTTAACTCCAACTCTAAGACTTCAGCGGGCCGAAGTTACACCCTTAGGTAGAGCAGGCGATTTGCGGTAGACAAATCATGACTCGCATTGAGAAATATAAAAATAAATACATAAATGAAAATTAAAAATCACGAAGTATGGGAATCATGTACACATTATTCAACAGCTGACGTATTTATTGGAGCTAAATTCGTTTAATCAGCATTGCGAATCACTGTCGCCTGTCAATTGTTTTATTAGGCAATCCGCTTTACTTTTATCCGTTGTCCGCTTTATTGTTCCAGTGCATCTGCAATTTACATGCTATATTATTATTAGTTGGGACACTACAGAGAAAAAGGAGCGGAAGCAGCAGCAGCAGCAGCAAGATAGAAAGAAAAAGATGTAGGATAATTAATAAGAGAAGAAAGAGGGGAAAAAGAAAGGGAAGAATGAAGGAGAAGACAATGGGAACAAGAAAGCAAAGAACAGAAAGAGGGAACAAGAAAAGAAAGAGAATAATGGCAAAATGGGAGAAAGAAGACAAAAAAGGAGGGGAGGAAGGAAGAGAAGAAAAAAGGAAAACAAAGATGGAGGATAGTAAGACAGGGGGAGAGAGAGAGAAGAAAATAAGAAGAGGTGAAGGGGAGTAAAAAAGAAAGGAAGAAAGGAGAGAAAGGGAACAAGAAAGATAATAGAAAAAGGAAAGGTAGAAGAAGGAGAGGAAAGAACTTTAGACTTGGCCAACTTCCGGTTTCTATTCATATTTTACGAATCCTTAATGCCTTACATTTTTATGAAGTCACGGTCACAGCGAGCCCCGACAGCTTGTAGGTAAACACAACACAGAAACCAAGAAATGAAGAAAGGGGGGCATTGCAACGTCCATTGCCACTTTGCCCCACTCTTTCGAGGGCTTTTAATCCGCCGCCGCCGGAGCACCTGACGAGCAGCGGCCGCACGTGCGAGCGGCGCCGGGGGGAGGGGGAGTTAAGGCTTGCGCGTTTTTTTGCACCCGAGTGAAGCGCCTGACGCGATGGGTAAAAAAAGGGGAGACGAAGCGACTGGCAGGTGGCTACGGAGGAGACTGGGGAGGAAGTAACGGTGCTCTGCTCTGCCCTCCTGTGCGTGAAAGGTGAAATGCAGGAAACGAAAACGTTTGGTAGTGCTAGTTGGATATCTGTGCGCTCGACGACCGTTAAAGTGCGAGCGAGACACGCGAGAAGGGGGACACTGCGCATGCGCAGTTCAGTCACCCATGCGTGCATCGCTGTTCAGAAAACACCTGGAGGCCTAAGAGCGCATTAATGCCCACAAATTATTTCAGGCGCGTTAGTTTCATTGTTCTTCTGTGTGAATTCTTACAATGTTTTGTTTAAATGTTTTTTTGTATTTTTGGGGAGTTGAGGTTGCCTATAGCAAATGCAGAATATGGATGTTTTGAGACGGCATTCAGTGCAACCGCCTCCCTCCTCTGCGACTACACAGAGTGCACAGACTTCGCGCGCGAGGCAGATAGCGACGGCGGATGGCAACTGAGAAGCGGAACGGCGGAACAAACGCAGGGCGGTAGCAGCGGCGGCGGACACTGACGTTTGCGGGCACGTCCATTGCTGCGTGGATTAATTCAGCTACTTTAGTGAAAGCTTTATCCTGGGAGATGGCAGAGATTCCTTCCCCGCTGGATGCCACCGACCTACACGTCGGAAAGAAATAAACGCGCGCGGTTCGTGGCCCGCTTGTTAGGGCACTGCTCCAGCATTGGCCTGCTCTATGGAAAACTACATACCTGTCCGAGCAGCCGGCCGCTGGAATTTCGCACCTACCGGGCGGAGTGGCTGTGGAGGCAGAGCAATGCAGCCGTGGACGGGGGCGGCGGCGCCGCGAGTGGCGGGGCCCCTGGGGCTCACGTTTCGCTCGTGCGGCGGCGAAAAACGCCCGCGGCACGCGCCACGCCGCCCGCACGCGTCGACGGAAGGCGCGCGCAAAAAGGTGGCGCTGCTCCCCATCCCAACGCGCGTGGAGGAAGGTTATTTTTGTGGCTTCGGTCGTATGACTGTTAGCGTATTGGGCTGTCACACCCAAGTTTGCGGGTTCAAATCCGTTCGAAGCCGTGGGTTTTTAAAAAAACCTTTTAACCGTGGGCGAAAAAATCCTTCGTACACCTTCCTTCAGAGGGAAGGAAAATAAAGCTGGCTGTACCATGTTGTAGATTTACTGCATGTAAAAGATCCTCGAGACTAAAAAAAGCTTTTGAGCTAAATCCCAACCGCCTGTTTCGTCGCTTCGTCGCTTCAGTAATAGCTTCTTTCGCCGCTAGATGGTAAAAGAAGCATAAGGAAATTTGCGTGGTCAGACGGAAGAACAGGCCTCATAGCCTGAGTAGTTTTTCTATTATCTTTCTTGTTCCCTTTCTCTCTTTTCTTGCTTTTTTTTTACTTCCGAGAGGTAAGAGGTGAACTCTTATTTTCTTTTCTCTCTCTCCCTCTATCCCCCTCTCTCGCCACACACACACACACACACACACACACACACACACACACACACACACACACACACACACACAGGCAACACTGAATTGAATGGAATTAATGCTGTTGGCTTTCTAGGCTCCTCTATACCGGGATTTCATATATGATGTATAGAATGCATGATTCTTAAAGAGAGTTCCGCACTTAAGATATTTTGCAAAGACGGAGGCTGTTTTTCTTGTACTTCACCTTCTCTTTTACTAGTTCTTATTTTTCTTTTTATCTTCTACTCCTCTTTTTCA